CCTGGTGCGAAAAACCTCAAAAAAAAAAAAAAAAAAAAACTCATGAAAATAAACACATAAAAGATTTTAGTTAACACACTGACTTAATGAAAAACCAGTACATTTAAAAATGTTTGAGGATCTGACTTACAGAAATGTTTTTGGCTTCAAGAAACAAATAATTTGTGCTGTCGTTAACAGCAATCTTTTTTTTTAGCTATGGACAGGAAATGACTGCATTACTACCAGTTTTCTACAAATTAACTCATCTCTTCAGTCATAAAATAGCCTAGTTAAGACAATCAAATAAGCCAAGATAATCCCTGAAGGGTCCTGCTAGACAATAATGGAATCCCATTGCAAACACATTCAGGGATCTATTTATTGACAAATAAAAAGTTATACACATTTATGGTATACATGTTTTATCATATGTATACATTGTGGAATGGCTGAATATTATTACATTCAGGAATTTTTTTTACTTCAGTTTTTTTTGACCAGTTAGTTTGTAAAAATAATTGCCTTATTTATAACAGGACACAAAGCATTGATTGAACTATTTTGGAACTCTGGAGTCCACAGAAGGCTTGCAGCTTCCAGAAGGCGTGGGAAGTGAAGTGCAGTTTGTCTATCAATCCCAGCTCTTAGCGCAGGGGCAGCTACTCACCACCCAGTCCCCTGGCAGGCAGCTGTGCACATGTTCCTGGGATAGGTTGCACACAGTGGGTGGGAGACAGGGTGGGCGAGAACCCTGTCCTTGAATAAGTAGGGATTTGTGCTCTGATCACTGATTGCTGGTTTTTGTTTTGAAATAATTATTTAACTTTTATTTATTTAAATTTGACCAGAGAGGGACAGAGTGAGAGAAAGTGAGAAGCAAGCCGTCATGTCCAGGACTGGAACCATGGTCAGTCATGTGGGAGTCCAGCGCCCTTCACCACCACGCCACCTGCAGGTCCCTGGTTTTTGTTTTTGCTAGAGAAGAAAAGGAAAAGTCTCCTGATGGGAGATGATCACACCGCAATCCCTTCTCTCTGCCTCCTCACAGGATTTTGGGTACACATGCACACACACGCCTGGCATGTTTCTCAAGTTGTCAGGTCCAGGACTCAAAGGGGTTCGTCCCGTGAAATCTGGCTGCTTTAACTACCAGGCTGTGGAATTGGCCTGTTTCTTCTTTAAAGATGATTTACTTCATGAGTGAAAGAATGAGAGCGAGAGTGAGATAGGCACCCTAGACAGGGCCTCATGCTATTGTGATCCTGTCTCCCCAGCCTCCATCTAGGATCCCAGGTGTGCACATACCTGGCATATTTAGGTCAATTTGGGATCCAAACCTGTTGTTGGCCATGTAGCCTCCAGGAAAGCAGTACAGGGGCAACAGCTTGTGCCACTGACTGCTGCTTCTGATCAGAGGGGCTAGTGGGTGGCCACAGTTGCAAACCTCTCCCATTCCGAAGTGATCTCTAGGGGAATTAAAGGGCTGGTGCCATTTCCCCCCTCTTTTGGGAGCCAAGCATTAAAGACAATTCTATTGGGACCAGCAGACCGTGTAATGGTTACATCGCTGGACTTCCATGCACTCAATTGTGGTTTGAGTCCCAGACACAGTGGCTTAAAACCACGCTGGGCATGTGTGTGCACGCCCCAAAATTCCAAGAGAATAAGGGACTGTGGTGTGGCTATCCCCCCAACAGGTGATTTCTCACTTTCTCTCTTTGGTGAGCACACAAGCCTTACAGCAAAAATCTCTAAAACCAAAATAATTTATTTTTAAAGAGATTTTGCCTTGGGGAGCAAGCACTTGGTGGAGAGACCCGGTGAGAGGGAAAGTGAGTAATCACCTCCCACCCCAGGGGAGATGGCCATGCTGCAATCCCTCCTCCTCCCAGGATCTTGGGTGGGCATGCACATATGTACACCCAGCATGAATTTCAAGCCTCTGGGTTCAGCACTTGAACTGCAGCAGTTAGCCATGTGGGAGTCCAGAAATGTAACCACTATGCCACCTGCTGGTCCTCCAAAATTCTGTTGATATATGAAGATACTTGAGAAAACTACAGCCTTGGGGGTAAGCAGGTGAAGTGGTGGTTAAAGGGCTCAACATGGCTGACTGTGGCTTAAAAAATCCTATCAGGTTCATGTGCGTGCAAACCCAAAAATCCCAAGAGGAGAATGAAGAGGGGATTGCAGATTAGCCATCCCTAGAGCTGAGATGGCATGATTTCTTTCCCTCTCTCTGGTGAGCACAACCATTCTTAAAAAAGCAAACATACATACACATGAACAAAAAACCGCTAGCCCAATATCCCTTATGAACACTGATGTTAAGAATCCTAAAGAGGGAACCAGTAGTTAGCGTAATGGCTATGTCACTGGACTCCCACGTAGTCAACCGAGGTTCGTGTCCCAGACCTGGTGGCTTAAAACTCACGCCGGGCGCATGTGCATGCGTGCCCAAGATCCTGAGAGGAGAATGGAGAAGGGATTGTGGCGTGACCATTCCCCCTGGGGGGTGATTTCTTGCTTTCTGTCTCTATGTCTCTCTGGAGAGCGCACGTGCCCTATAGCGAAAACCTCTCAAAAAAAAAAAAAAAAATCCCTACACATTATTTTTAGAACAACCTCATCTTAGAGTTCATACTTAGACCTGTAAAGATTTTATTCTTGGGGCTGGCAGGTGGTATGGTGTTTAAGGGTGCTGGACTGCCATGTGGCTGACCATGGTTTGAGTCCCAGACCTGGCAGCTTGCTCTCTCATTTTCCCTCTCTCTCACTCACTGTCCCTCTCTGGTCAAATTAAAATATAAATAAATAACTGAAGTAAAATAATTCCAAAAAATTTTTTTATTCTATGTTTCACTACTTTTTTTCTGGACCACATACATCACTCAGCCTTTTCCAGGTAAGCAAGCATTCCCTCCATCCCTTACTACTAAGGACGTGTACCCCAATTTAAATCCATCAAGAGGCCAAGTATTTGTAGTCATTTATTGCCTCAGAATACTTAACAGTTCCAAAAACCCTAACTACTTTCCCAAGCTTTTATCTTAAAGTTGCTCCATACAATTAAGTCTGTGTGCAGAGTAAAAAAGAGGATGGGAAGGCTTGTGAAAGACAGGAGTTCTGGCCTCCAGCAGGCAGGATCTATTCTAGGTCCTCTGTGCTCACCCACAATTACTTTCCCTCCCACATCATGCTAACTCAGTGATGCAGCAGCTTCGCTGACCACCAAGACCTGCAGCAGCAATGTCTGCACTCACAAATGTAATGGAGCCTATGCAGATAAATGCTTTAGTGCAGACGGCAAAGGGTCACATTATAGGCATTCAAGTCACACTGAGAAATCTGGAATGGCAACAGCGTACATAAAAACAACTTGTATTTTTAATGAAAAACACAAAGAGAAACACTTTACTTTCCTTCTATTACATAAGCAAGCACAAAGACCAATTTAAAAATAGAATTCACTTTAAACCTCTTATACCCTGGAACATACACCAAGAGTCACCTGTGGAGGTTTATAAGCATATCAACTTCCAGGCCTGGTAGGACTATAGTGCGGTCTGGACCAAGCACACTTAAGGTGCACTATGTTTCCTCCTATTTACTCATGTTAGGTTGACTGGGGCACTTGGGGTTTGGGGGGGCACTGTTTGGGGGTTTGGGGAGCTTTCTTTGCAGATTTGCTAGGAGTAGCAAAGAACTTGGCCCCTGGCTTTTTTGGAGTCTGTCTTGGGTCTTTTTTCCCCAGGGAAGAGGTTCTTTCTTTTTCTATCTCTTCAATTTTTGGCTTCTTGCCCAGGCCTTTACTTGGAGTCTCAGGCTCTGCAGTGCTTGGAGTCTCTGAAGCTGGCAAAATCTTTCTTTTCTTCCCACGAGACGTGCTGGGACCAGACCTCTTTTTTGGAGACGTCTTTTCTGTGCCATGTGTTTGCATCTAGAAAACAGAAGATAAATCTGAAAACACAATAAAAATGCCCAAACCTGATGACTTGATTCAGCAAAATTACTGTTTTAATCAGTTACCCCCCCTGCCCCCACCACCCCCAAATACACCTGAGCAGGATGAGATAAGGAATGGTTTTTTTTTTTGCCTCAGATATTTTGAAAGGCAGCGCTTTCCATTAGTAAGGACAGCAAAAAGGCCTCTGGAGGTTTCCCTGCCCCAACCAGAGGAAAATCATTTTTCCCAATAGGCGAGGGGAGTGACTTCTGGAAGCAGACACTGGGAGCACACAGCTGGGGGACTCTTCACCTTCAGCGATAAACTCCTTGCATGGGGGCTAGGCAAGGGGTCCCCAAACTTTTGTATAAAAGCCAACTGGGGGGCAAGGAGGTGGTGTGGAAGTTAAATGTACTGGAATCCCACATGGCAAACCACAGTTCAAGTCCCATACCTGGTAGCTTGCTTTCTCACTTTGCCCCCCCCTCTGGTGAGTGCATGTGCCCTATAACACATTAATAATAAATAACATTAAATGAACAATTAAAAAAAAAAAAACAAAACAACCACCCAACCAAACAAAAACAACTGGAGGGGCTGGCAGGTGGTATGATGGGTCAGGCACTGCACTCCCACATGGCCAACCGCAGTGTGAATCCCAGACTTGGTGGCTTATGCACTCTCTCTAGTCAAGCTGAATAGTGATGATTATGGATACAACTGAATAGAAAAATGGCAGAGAGAGGAAAAAAAAAAAACCCAAAACACAAACAAACCCAAAAAACTGGGGTGGGGCACCAGTTAGAATGATGGTCACAGTACTGGACTCCCAAACGGCCAACTGTGGTCCAAGTCCTGGACCTGGTGGCTTATTTTCTCACTCTTCCCCTCCCCGTGAGTAAACATGTCCTAAGCAGATACATCAAATAAAATTCTTAACAGTTAAAAAAAACAATCAAGGAATGGGGCATGGGGTTAAATATTTTAGAGGAAGGATCCCAAACTCAAGATTGCTATTGTATATTTACCACGATTAATTACATGTCAACTGAGAACTCAACTTCAGAAATGGACCCCTGAAGTCCAAATTCTGTCCTGGTCTGCCTTTAATTTCAAGAGCAATGTTTCTTCTAATTATACAGTGGGGTGCCTCTTGAGCAAGTACAGAGTTACTCTACATTACTCCAACATTTAAAAGGATAAAATAAATGATGCTGACTACCTTCGTGTCCTTACCCTACAACTTCTGATCATTCATCACTCAGCAGTGCCTACTGTGACCTCAGAACCGACCCGTCAGAAACAGTAAATATACCTCTACATTTCCTTTAGCTGGAGTTTCTTCTATTGGTACAAGTTGTGGAATTTCATCTTCAGGTTCATCTTTCAGTTTCAATTTGGCTTTCCGTTGGCCAGTCTTCTCCTGTTTTGCATTCGCTCCTTTCTGGGGTCCAGAATTACTCACTGGAGCACCAGCAATTTTCGGTGCTACATCATCTTTAGTTCCGACTGATGCAGCCTTACCACCCTCTTGCATTATCTTTTTGTTTTTCTTCCTTTTCTTCTTCTGTTTTTCATATTCTTTTCCTCTGTGTTTCTCCTTTCCCAACTACCAAAAAAACACCAAGTGTAAGTTTAGCAGAGAATACCTCTGTTGATAAACCAACAGCATAGATTTAAAACTCGCAGTTCTGACTACCTTAGTTCTCTCAAGGGGTCTTGACCTCTACAGAGAACGAACTCCACTACCAGCACTTGTATCTCAATTCCACTTTGTTTATGATTCATGGCAAAAGACACATTCTATGTAGTAAACTATCTACTAGGATTTCGGAATCTGGTTATCTCAAGAATTCTGTTTTTGGACAGCAGGTGGCATTGAGGTTGAGATGCTCAACTCTCATATGGTGGACTACGGTTTAAGCCCTAGACCTGGCTTCCTTACTTTCCCTCTCTATGGTCAAACTGAAAAATGATAATGATGAATAAATTTTTTTAAAATTATTAAATATTTTTTAAAAGATCTTTAAAAACAAACAAAAAAACCCAAGAATCTAGTTAAAGATGTTGTGAAAGTCAATCTCATTTAAAAAGAGTAAAAATATAACCTTGGGGGCTGGCAAGAAATTTCCCACACATAATAATAAAGCTAATTATTTTTTTAAAAAAGAGAGAGATTTTTGCTATAGGGCACATGTGCTTGCCGGAGAAACAGGAAGCAAGAAATCAATCCCACCCCTCAGGGTGGATGGTCAAGCTGGACCCCTTCTTCTCCATTCTCCTCTTGTGATTTTGGTCACGCATGCACATGTGCCCAGTGCTGCGTTTAAGTCACTGGGTCCAGGACTCTTAACTGCAATTGACTACGTGGGAGTCCAGTGATAAAACCATATCATCTGTTGGTGCCAAAATAAATAACTTTGAAAAAAAAATCATCTCATTTAACTTTCTTTATTTTAATTTAATCAAAGAGGGACAGAGTGAGAGAGAGGGGTAAAGCGACAAAACAAGTTGCCAGGTCTTGGACTCGAACCACCGTCAGTCATGTGGGAATCCAGCGCCCTCCACTACCACGCCACCTACCAGCCCTAATAAATAACCGTTTTTTTTTTTTTTAAGAGGTTTTCACTATTCGCCACACAGACAGAGACATAGAGACAGAAGGCGAGAAATCACCCCCCAGGGGAGATGGTCATGCCGCAATCCCTTCTCCTCCATTCTCCTCTCGGAATCTTGGGCACGCATGCACACGTGCCCGGCGTGAGTTTCAAGCCACCGGGTCTGGGACGCGAACCGCGGTCGACTACGTGGGAGTCCAGCGACATAGCCATTACACTAACTGCTGGTTCCCTAATAAATAACTCTTTAACAAAAAATAATCTTGGGGTCAGCAGGTGGCATGGTAGTTAAGGCACCGGGTCCCACATGGCTGACTGTGGTTTATGTCCTGGACTTGGCAGCTTAAAAAATTCACTAGGAGGGATTGGTAGGTGGTACGGGGTTAGGGCACCAGACTCCCACGTGGCTGACTGCAATTTGAGCCTCAGACTTCACAGCTTGCTTTCTCAGCCCACCTTGGTTAATTTGTTTTAAAAAGTAAATAAATAATTCTAAAAATAAAATGCTGTGTGCATGCGTGTCTGTGCATGAAATCTCGAGAGGTAAATGGTGAAGGGAATGCAGTGTGGCCACCCCCAGCCCCCATGGGGAGAGGGGAACACGGGGCAGTGATTTGTCACCTTCCTTCTCTCTGGCAGCGAGTGCACACACCCTATGGCAAAAATAAATAAATAAACATCAACCCCCCCCCCACCACTGTTGTGGCTGAAAATTAAAATAGTACAATGTCTACATAGCTAGAAGTCCTCTTTTGTTATCACAATACTGTTGAATGAAACTTACAACAGTATTCAAAGTCCACTTTATCCAACAATTTATTCCAATACCAAGTAAGGCCATCTATGAATCTGCTGACAAATGACAAAAAACTCAAGACGTCCTGCTTCCAATAATAGCAGATCATGTTATTCTGGATCACCCACCAAATCAAAGTAAGTGAAAAAGCACGGTAATAGGGCCCGGCAGGTGGTGAGGTGGTTGAAGGTGCTGGCCTCTCACATGGCCAACCGTGGTTCAAGTCTTGGACCTGGAGGCTTGCTTTCTTATTCTCTCACACACACTGTCCCTCTCTGGTCAATTTAAGTAAAGAAAGAAATGAATGAATAAATTAAAAACGAGGTTAAAAAAGTAGGGTAAGATATTTTTATTTTAATTTTTAATAGAGTGCCTCATCAGAGAGAGACAGAGTGAGGGAAAGCAAGAAAGCGAAACACCAAGTCTGGGACTTGAACCATGTTCAGCCACATGGCAGCCCAGTGCCCTAACCACCACGCCACCTACTGGCCCCGCAGGGTAAGATTTTATTTTTCTTTTTAAAAAAGAACTATTTATTTGTTATTGTGTTTTAATGCGACCAGAGAGCGAAAGGGAAAGTGAGAAAGCAAGCTGCCAGGTCCAGGACTTGAACCACAGTTGGCCACGTGGGAGCAGTGCCCTTAACCACCATGCCACCCGCCAGCAGCCCTGCTCCCACCACGTAAGATATTTTTAAGGAAAAATATTTTTACTCCCACTTAAAACACTTAAGAGCTGATTACACGGTAAGAAATGAAGATCCACAGAGATATGTGAGCAGAGAAGAGATCCTTGTCCTCAGATTATAGCTGATCCCTAACCTTTGCTTGAACAGTTATATAGGACTCAGATGAGGATTTGAAGAGAAGATACATCAAGCCCCAGGGTACATACCAGGGAGGAATTCTAGGAGAAAACCCTGCTTACAACAAGCTGGGAGCCCAGCCTGTATATGTTCAGCATATGAATGAACAGGAGATGGGGCTCTCACAGACTTACTGCCTGGGTTGGGTGTGAGTCAGTAGGGAACCTCCAGCCTTATACATGTTTAAGACGGTCCTGTACTTGGAATACTTCCAAGGTACTGGGCAGAAGTAAATGCAAACACTTTGCAAAAAGTTATACTGACTCTACACATTAAATTATTTCTATAAATAAAATCTCAAATATAATAATAAAGAACCAGTAGGTACAGATTAACTATAATATTTGATTTCTACTATTTGGATTATTAGACATCTATAGAGCACTATGTTTAGTATGTGTAAAGAACTAAGACAAACTATGGGTCAACCCTATAGCACAGTGGTTAAGGGAGCAAGATCCCACATGGCCAATTGTCCAGGTGAATACTAGTCCCGGTGGCTTGAAAATACATGTCAAGTCAAAGTGCCTGTGTGCCCAAAATCTTGACAGGATACAGTAACAGAGAAGGGACTGCAGCATGACCACACCCCATCAGGGATGTTTTCTCCATTTTTCTCTCTGCCAAGGGTAAACACTATATGGCAATTATAGAAAAAAAATTAAGATAAACTATGGAAAGATTATTTGCTGCGCACATCAGTAGCTTAACTAGATCCACAGGAGAGAGGTCCTGGGTTCATGACCCTGGACCTTCCTGAGCAGGCTGGGTGTACCTACATGTGTGATGATTCAAGACGGCTAACACTGGGGGTAGATGGTAGTTTGAGGACCTGGTTGGGGATGCCGCTCTCTCTTTGCCTGTCTCTCTTCTGAAAAAAAATAAAACTTAAAAACAAAAGAATTTCATTGGGGAGACTCATTGGATATGATGAACATGGTTAAAGATATTAACTGTCAAGAACTATGGAGTATGAGTAAAAGTTTTTTGGATATATAAAATAAATGTGGAAAAATGTAAAAATAGCAATAAAAAAGAGATAAAGTTAGCAACTAAGAGATCAGTCTATAAGCAAAAAAATTCAATTTTCTCTGGCTTTTTTTTTTTGAGTTCTAGTAGCATGAAAAATCTATAAACCCAGGGGCCAGCACCTGGCAAGATGGTTAAGGCACTGGACTCCCACAGGGCTGTCTGCAGTTTGAGTCTCGGACCTGGCGGCTTGCTTTGTCACTTTCCCTCTCGCTCACTCTCTCTGGTGAGCACTCATGCCCTACAGCAAATTAATAATAAAAATAAAAAAGTAAAAAACAAAAAACCAAAAAACCCTAAAAACAAAAAATACCCCAAAACAAAATCCCCCTATAAACTCAAATCAAGAGATATCTATTAATTTACTGTAACCCCTACATTTTGCCCATATGTAAGATTAGTTAATAAAGGGGTTGACAGGTGGAATGGTGGTTAAGGTGCTGGGCCCCCACATGGTCAACTGTGGTTGGAGTTCCGGATCTGGTGGCTTGCTTTCTGACTTTCCTTTCCACTCACTCTGGTCAAATTTCTTTTTCTTCTTTAAATAACTATTTATTTTTAAAATTCCATTTGTTATCATCATGTTCTAATTTGACCAGCGACATAGAGAAAGGGCAAGTGAGAAAGCAAGCAGCAAAGTCCACGACTTAAACTGCTATGTAAGGGGAACCAGCAGTTAGCGTACTGGCTAGGTCACTGGATTCCCACATAGTCGACAGTGGTTCGCGTCCCGGACCCAGTGGCTTAAATCTCACGCCGGGTACGTGTGCGTGCATGCCCAAGATCCCGAGAGGAGAATGGAGGAGAAGGGACTGCGGCATGCCCATCCCCCCTGGGGGGTGATTTCTCGCTTTCTGTCTCTATATCTCTGTCTGTCTGGCGAGTACACGCGCCCTATAGCGAAAAACCTCAACCATGTATATAAGTCCAGTGCCCTTAAATACCATGCCACTTGCTGGCCCCTTCTCTGGTCAAGTTTAAAAAAAAAAAAAAAAGGACTAAATTTTAGCTTCTTTCTTTTCCCTTTGCTCCTCTTTGCCTATGTACAGGCCCCTCCAACTTCCCTCTTTTTAAAAGAATTATTAAATTTTATTTATTTAATCTGACCAGAGAGAGACAGAGACAGAGAACGAAAGAGGAAATGGGAGGAAGTAAGCTGCCAGGTCCAGGACTCGAACCATGGTTGGCCATGTGGGAGTCCAACACCCTTAACTATCACACCACCTGCCAGCTCCCTCCCAAAGCCCTTTTAAGGCAGATAGAAATGAAAATGTCTATGGTATCGATAAACACAAGTTATTTTTATCTTAATGTTCTTTTTTCACACCAATATGAACTAGTCTCATACATAAAGTGGAATGATGACCCCAAGACCATGACTATTGGGAACTAATATAAGACACCTAAAGGCAGGGAGGGATGGCCACTGAGTTCTCTTCTAGGGGCCAGGTTTACAACCATAATCATTAAGCCTGTCCAATATTTAAAATTCTACTCACTTTTTTCTTTTCCTTCTGAGTAGGAGTGGATATTCTTTTGGCTCCATCCTGACTGCTGACAAACGAGGAGAAGATGGGAAGGGCAACCGATTTCTCAGTTTTCACAAACAAGAGTTTCACACTCTCCCATTTCTGAAATGAAGAAAATAACAACATTTATACACACATGCTGATTCTTTTAAATGCAAACCAAATGATGCACTTGCAATGCTGTACCTCTGGCAATTTTTCTGAAAGCCTTTTCGTGACAGCAACAACATTTTCAACGATGTGCTGGGCCTGCATTCCAGTGTGACCAATGCGTATAGTGCTGAAATTGAATATAGAACCAGACAAAAAATATTTAAAAAACCTTTTTCTCCCTTAAAATAGAACACAGGCAGGTATGTGAGAATTTTTTTTTTTGAGAGGTTTTTGCTATAGGGCACGTGCGCTCGCCAGGCAGACAGAGGCAGAGAGACAGAAAGCGAGAAATCACCCCCCAGGCGGGATGGCCACGCTGCAATCCCTTCTCCTCCAGTCTCCTCTCGGGATCTTGGGAATGCACGCACACGCACCTGGCGTGAGTTTTAAGCCACCGAGTCCGGGACGTGAACTACGGTCGACTACGTGGGAGTCCAGTGACATAGCCATTATGCTAACTGCTGGTCCCAGTATGTGAGAGAATTTAGAGGCAGATAATCTCTTCCACTCTTTTTTAAAGATTTTTTTTTTTTTTTGGTCATAGAGTGTGTGTACTTCCTGGAGAAATGATAGGGGAAAATGAGAGATCACTCCCACAGAGGTGGCCACCATGCAATTCCAACTCCTTCACATTCTCCTTTCAGGATTCTGGCCATGCACACATATACTTAACTGCTGGTACCAGGATTTGAACCGCAGAGTAGGCCACATGGGATCCAGTGCCTTAAATAACACCCATTGGCTGGCCTAAAGGAAGATTATCTTTTTAAGTTCTAGAACTTTCCTCTACCTGAAATAAAATGTCATGCCACGAGGAGGATATTTATTTTTTTATTTTTTATTTAATTGTATTCATTGTCATTATTTCATTTTATTTTGAAGTTAAACAGAGAGAGACAGAGAGAGAGAAGCAAAGTAAGAAAGCAAGCTGCCAGGTCCAAGACTCAAACTGTGGTCAGCCATGTGGGAGTCCGGCCGCCTTAACAACCATGCCACCTTCCAGCCCCATGAGGAGGATATTTAAAAGCTGGTACTGGGGCTGGCAGGTGGCATAATAGTTAAGGGTGCTGGATTCCCACGCGGACAACTGTGGCTTGAATCCTGCACCTGCTGGCTCACTATCCCCTACTGCTGGCTCCGGTAAAATAAAAATGAGCAAATAAATAAAGTTAAAAAAAAAAAAAAAAAAAAAAAAAAAAGCAGCTGGTACCTAACTGTGTGAGGCCGGGTAGTTCAGTTGGCAGTGAGCAGGGCCAGAGATGCTACCTTCACCCTAGAAACTCCATGTCACCTGCCATCTTTGCCCTGACTCTGCTAGTACCTTCTGACATAAATCATCCTTATTCCCTGCCGAGTAGTATTTTCTGGCCAAGAACAAGTCTACCCCTTCAGTAGACGCACTATGCAGATTGAAGCAAAGCAGGAAGCCCAGAAGGGCTCAGCACTGTGGGTCTGCCTTGCCTTACCAGCTCTGCTCTCCCCACCATGGGAGCCAAAAGGCAGGCTTGCTGTTGGTTGAGTGTCTGGAAGATGAGAATAGGATGTGCTGTGGTTCTGCTTCCCGTCAGCCAAAAACTCAAGCCCTGCCACCTGACTACCAGCATACCTGTGGCTCACCAGATAGAGACATGGCAAGAAGGAAGAGGGGAAAACACAAAAAGGGGGAAAGAGCGAAAAAGGGAAGAAAACAAACTATTGTGCTAGAGAAAGAAATGGGAGAAGATGAAAAATTCAGATTTTTTTCTTAGTTGTCCACAGCTATCTTTATGTTTTGTGTCTGGACTGGGAAAACAACAGTGAAAGGCGACTGCTACTTCTTAGCTATCTTCATGGTACTGTCGTCCCCTTCCTCCAGCTCCTCACTGAGCCCATGAGCCAGGAGTCACTACTCTGACACCATCCTATGACCAAGGAGTGGGGATCCACGTCCAGTGACCAACTCTCCTCAGCTACTCAATTACACCCAATTACGGGTTCCCACCTACAGCAAAAGGCAGCGCCAGAGTTCAGCTGTCTGGCCCAGCCACACTCTGCTCTACTCTACCCAGAAACACTATACTGAGAGCTGGCCTCCCTGTGACCATAGCCAAGAAAGCTCTGGGGTCCTATTTCCGTTGTGTGTGACTACTAGCTACAAACAGACTGCTGGGGTATCTCTGGATAGATGGGCATGTGTGCATGAGTGCCAAAGATCCCGAGAGGAGAATGGAGAAGGGATTGCAGTGTGGCCATCCTCCCCATTGTTCTTGGGGCCGGCAGGTGGCGTGGTAGTTAAGATGCTAGACTTGTACTTGGCTGATGCGGTTCAAGTCCTGAATTTGGTAGCTTGCTTTCTCATCCCCCACATTCCTCTGGTTAAATTAAAATAAATACATAAAATACATAGTCAAATAAAATAATTCTTAAAAAAGTTCTACTGGACTATAGTGTCAAAGAGAATTAAATCATTGTATGTGATGAGCATAAGGATCTGGTTTCACTAACACTATCTGTTAAAATACTTTATACGATATGGGGCTGGCAGGTGGTGTGGTAGTTAAGGCACTGGACTCCCACATCGCTGACCAAGGTTCGAGTCCTAGACCTGGCAGTTTTCTTACTTCAAATGAACAAACGAATGAATGAAAAAATAATTATTTAAAAAAGTAAGTTTAGGGAACAGCAGTCAGCGTAATGGCTATGTCGCTGGTTTCCCATGTAGTTGACCAGGGTTCGAGCCCTGAACCTGGTGCCATAAACTCACACTGGGCATGGTATGTGTGTGCCCAAGATCCTGAGAGGAGAATGGAAGAGAAGGGATTGTGGCATGGCCATCCTCCCCCAGGGGGTGAGTTCTCACTTTCTGTCTCTCTCTGTCTGGTGAGTGCATGTGCCCTATAGCAAAAACCTCTCAAAAACAAAAACAAAACAAAAAAACTAAAAAAGTTTATACGATCATTATTAAACACAATATTAAGAGAGGCACATTTTTACAAAAGCATTTTACCTACCTGCAAGAACCACTTTTCGAGATGTTTAATATGGTTCCACCTATAGAACTATTGATCTCTTTTGATAAATTCTTGGCCAGAAGGTTCACACTTACTGGAACTCTATAAAAAAAAATGCAGGCATTCAGACACAATGCACATACACCTAAGAACTCCACATTGCTAACTCTCAGGCACTATTAAGAAACTTACTTCTTCCTTTGATAGAAATGCCTCCCAAGGTGCGATGGTAAGAGCCGCCTGATCCTATCATCTGTGAGGAAGAAGTCAAAACTACTCAGTAGGCGAAGCTTGGCTTCATAGGCTTTATACTCCTTTTTCAAAGTCTGGAAAGGAATAATCTAGAAAACAGTAAAAAGGACAAAAAAGGTCAAGAACCTAGACATGAAAAAACATTTAAGTAGCAATTTGTATTAATATTTAAAAATGTAAGTGTCCTGGACCTCACAGTTCAGTGAACATGTGAGCACCTAAAATATGCCAGGGATGATGCTAAATGCTCGGAATACTGGGATAAACGAGGAAAGTCCCAGCTAAAGGTGTGTACGTCCAAGAGAATAATAAAGACAAGTGCAGTAATGACAAAGCAAGGAGAGTCAGAGGTCAACAGAGGATGCTCCAGAAGCACAGAGCATGACATAATAAGCAACTTTCTTAAAATCTGGATGTTACCGAAGTATACATTTAGGTCAAGAAATCAAAGCTCCTCTGTCACAGGCAATATGGAATACATTCTATCTAAAGCAACGAAGATTTAAATTAAAAAAAAAAAAAAAAAGAAAACAAAAAAACAAAAAACAAAAAACAGGCTGGCTCTATAGCTTGGTGGTTAAGGAAGCCAGATCCCCCACGTGGCTGCCCCCACAGTTCAAGTCCAAACCCAGCAGCTTGAGAAACACCAGGCACACATGCATGCATATTGAAAATCCTGAAAGGAAGGAGAGATGGGGAGAAGGAACTGCACTGTGACCATTTCCCACGGGGAGTGCTTCCTTAGCACCTTTCCCCTCTGCACTGCATGTGCCCTCTAGCCACACACACACAAAAAGAAATTAAAAAAAATACTAGAAAATGTACTAGTAATGTATTACTTATCACTTCTACTAAATTAAGTCTTCTAAATGATTTAAAATATTAACCCTCCTACCTGAGAAATGATTTTAACTCCATGCTTATTCAAAAGCTGTCTATAGAAACGTTCTGTCTTTTCAGGAGTCGAATTGGGTTCATCCTTGGTAAACAAACAAATTTCTGCTAAATCTGTCCGAATACTATTAGGCAAGGGCCTGTGAAATACATAAAAATCCAAGGAGTAACATTACAAACAGTATGGACATTTTATATTACATAGAACACACAATACTTATTGTCACTCTAATAACCATCATTCATGCTATTTAAGCAAATACTGGATTGAAAACATTAACAATGTATTTAGTTTGGGGCCAGGCAGGTGGCTAGTGGTTAAGGCAGCTGGATCCCATATGACCATGCATGGTTCAAGTCACTGATTTGGAGACTTGAGAAACATGCCAGTGTGTGTGCCCAAAATCCTGAAAGAAAAATGTAGGAGAAAGGATTGCAGCATAGCCGCTTTGACTGAAGAGTGATTTCTTTTTTTCTCTCCAGAGAGCACATATGACATATAGCAAATTAAAAAACAAAAACAACTCTCTATGTCTAGTTTACAGTGGTACAGGGAAAAGATTCAAGATTCAGGTAAATTATACAAATATCCAAAGCTCAAAATATCAATTAACATTTGGGATATAACAAGAGTTAAAATAAAACAGAATCGGGGCCAAGAGATGGCGTGATGGTTATGTTGCTGGACTCCCATGTAGTCAAGAAGATAGAGATTTTTGCTGTAGGATGTTTGTGCCCACCAGAGAGACAGAAAGCGAGAAATCACCCCTCCCCCTGGGGGGATGGCCACACCACACAATCCCTTCTTCTACAGAATCCTTTCGGAATTTGGGGCACGCGCGCACACACACACACACACACACACACACACACAGCAACCGAGTGTGGGACTCGAACTGCAGTCGAACATGTAGGAGTCCAGGATGTAACAATTACACCATCTGCTGGTCTCCACAAACATAATTCTTAAGAACTGAAACAGAAAACGGGGAGCAAACCAAAAGGAGTAAACAAATGTGCACTATTACATTAATTACCAAGGGGGGTGGAATAAAAGGTTTAAATGAATTTCTTAGGTCTACACATTCTGCGAAAATATATCCTTAGTATAAGAGGAAGCAGCAAGGCATAACAGAATAACTGGCTGGGGCCAGCAGGTGGCATGGTGGTTGAGGTGCTGGACTCCCACATGGTCAACTCTGGTTCAAGTACTGGACGTGGTGGCTTGCTTTCTCACTTTCCCTCCCTTTCTCTCTCTGGTCAAATTTAAAGAATTAAATAAAGGAAAAAAAAAAAGAGTAACTTGCCAAGTGAGATAGTAAGTGCTGTAAAGAAGTTAAAGGCAGAAATAAATCATCAAAGGCAAGCAGCTGGGAAAATATCCTGAGCAAAGGTCTAAGAAATCCAAGAAAAATTATGTAAAGAAGTGAGTGAGACAATCTGGCTATAGGAAGTTTATGACCATCAGTTAAATATACTGAGAATCAAGTATCTTTCCTGTATCTAACCATTCCACCTACTCCTTAAGGGGAAAAGAAAAGAAACAAGTGGGACCAGCAGATAGTGTAATGGCCATGTCACTGGACTCCCATGCAGTCGACAGTGGTTTGAGTCCCGGACGCAGTGACTTAAACTCATGCCAGGCGCATGTTCATGCGTGCCCAAGATCCCAAGAGGAAAGGGATTGCAGCATGGCCAACCTCCCAGGGGGGTGATTTCTCATTTTTTGTCTCTCTCTCTCTGGCTTTCTGGTGAGCACACGTGCTCTACAGCAAGAAAAAAAAAAAAAAAAAAAAAAAAAAAAAAAAAAAAAAAAAAAAA